CTCAACCAACCGTAGGCCGAAGGGGACCTGCCTTCCACAGCGAGAGCATTAGCATCTCTGGACAACTTTGCATGCAGCAATAACGGTAGCTTTCATGCAAAACTTGGCACAGCAGATTCCAGGAGAAATGCATGAACTTCTGAAACACTTCTCGCTATAGCAGAGGGACATGTCAGCAAGCACAAAGAGCACAAGGGCAGCTCCTGACAGGAGCTATGAAATAAATGCAGCGCAAATGGCTGCAGTATCAAGGCTGCTGCTGTAGCTGTGGAAAGGGAGAACCAATGAGGATTACAACAACCAGACAAATTGAAACAATCCACTAAATTAATACTCTGGGTCCCTAGGCTTTGCCCAGGATCTTGCGGGATGCCCCTCACACCATGGGGACAGATGGACGCTGAAGGTAGTGCTGCGTCTCTGGCATTTGGACTTGCCGAAGGATGAGGAAGATGAGGGAGGTCTGAAGTTCCCTGTGCTGCCACTGAGCTCTTCCAAGGGAGGATGAGAGTGTTGCCAAGCTCACAGGGATAAACCTGGGTTGCGGAGAGCTCTTGGTCCCATGGAAGGAACAAGCCTGCAGGACCAGGAACACGTCCCGAGGCGCCCATCAACAAGGATGAGTCAAATGGGATCTAGAAGTAGATGTGAGGCTGAAAGGAAGCCAGATGGAAAAAACACCCAGGCCCCTTCATAAAACAGCACTGAAGTGAGTTGAAAATATGGGGAAAAGGCCTCATGATGCAGGATTATGCTGAAAGATTTTTAATGATCATAAGTAACAGAACCTCTATTTTATAGCTCAAAGATGCTAATGAAACCAAAAATCCTACAGTGCCTTTACAAGCAGCGTGCCTACCAGTGCAATCCCACTGCTGAGCCTGCTTCCCAATCCATGCCCAGCAGAGCTCCAGGTCTCTCCATAAAATCATTTCTTTATTTTTCAATAAAATCTTCTTCTTCACAAACAGAAAATAAGAGCTGTCTGAAAGCGATGGAAAGATAAAAGGGAAAGGAAAAATGAAAGATTTAAGGAGAGGGGACAGATGGACAGAAGAAAATCACTACTGAGGAATTTATCTTTCTTCCTACAGTTTTTGTCCATTATGGCCCTATTTTGGGCTGCACCATTATATAAGTCCCCAGCCTTCTCCTCCCTACCATAGCACTCTGGGGAGAACCAGATGGATTTTGGCAAAAGAAGCTCACACCTCTGTTTGGATTTTTGTATTGAACTGTGGTATAGGTTTGTTTTTTTCCCCTGAGCAGATCTTTTGCAGGATGCGTGTATGTTGGCTTCCCTGCTTCCACAGCAGAAAGAACATCCAAAATCCATAACCACACAATAACATCTGGGTGAGGTTTAGTCAGCCACAGTTTGGGAACAGATTTCCAACACAGGCATTAGGTTTTTCCCTCACATATAACTTTTTTATTTGTTTTCATACTTGCAGTTCTCAGAAATCCTTGGGCAGACTCATACAAACAGGGCATAGGAAGCTCACACGGAGCCCAGAGCACGGAGCAATGGGGGTGAGATTTACTAGGACTTTTAATGACATGAAAACATCTCATTGCTCCTATGCAACCAGTTGGCAGCTCCTGAACCATCTGTATAAATGAGCCCAAGTCACTGGAAATGGCAAGTCAAGCTCAGGTATGCAATAGGCATGCAGAAATAAAGTTGCAGAGGGTGGTATTCAGTTAGGCCTACTCCACTTTTGCCATTTTGCCTGAAAATCTTGCCCAAAACACACCGAGTGAAGCACTGCATGAGATACTCTGCTCCTGCCAGGGCTGAATGGAGAGGTTTGGCTTCTTGGCCTGTCAGATCTTCTTCTGAGAGCTAAGCAAATATAATGTTGAAAATTCAAGCAAATAGGAAAACCCTAGATCCTGCAAGCAGAGATTTGCGGAATGCCATTGCAGCCAATATTGCCCTCCTGAAAATAGGCCTTGCTGGTAGGATAGATGTTGTCAGAAACACTAGAAGTTCTCACTTTTTGAGCCCCTTCCCAAAGCGAGCCCGGGGGCACGGAGCGCGCGGTGCCCTTGCGAGGCAACGGAGGTGGTGAGCGCGGCTGGCAACCTCCAGCCATGGCGCGTCCTGACGGGAAAGCTTCCT